TGATGTTTCTCTCTCATCGATGTTTCTAACTCTCTATCCCTCTCCTTTCCTCTCTGTAAAAAAATCAATATATTTAAAAACAAAAAAACAAAACCAAAAAAACCCCTGACTTTATCCTGAATTTTCTATCGGAAAATAAAAGGGGATGGCTATGGGAAGAGGGCAAGGATGGTGACACCAATTTCTGGTCATGCTCACCACTTAGTGCAATCCTCTCTCTGCAGAGACAAGGACAATATGCACCACCCCCAGGAGCCAGCAGCATTTTGGGAGTCGAGGCATCTGGACATGTGGCAGAGCTGGGGCCTGGCTGCCAGGGGCACTGGAAGATCGGGGACCCAGTCATGGCTCTGTTGTCTGGCGGGGGTCAGGCTCAATATGCCACTGTCCCTGAAGGGCTCCTCATGCCCATCCCAGCAGGACTGACTCTGCCCCAGGCTGCAGCCATCCCAGAGGCCTGGCTCACCGCCTTCCAGCTGTTACATCTCGTGGGTGAGGAGCTCCCCCCTCCCATCCCCTCTCCATGCTTACTCCATGCAAATGTGTTCAATGCCTTCCTGACCGAGCCACCTCAAAACCCAGTAGTCCTTCCGGGCAGCTTTGTCCTGTCCTGGCCACTGAGCCACACCCAAGCCCAGCACCTCACCCTACTGTGTCACCTGTAGGGTCAGGTCCTCATACCAAGTTAGCAGTGGCTCGAGAGTTGAGGCTGAAAATCACGGCTATCAGCTAGAAGGCCTGAATAGCACTGGATGTGCGCATCGTCACACCGTTGGCCCACCACTCACCCCAGCTTCTCCGAGTCATGCTGAGCTTCTCTCTGGGAGCCTTAGTGCAGCAGAAGGAGCCATTCAGTCGACTCTTATTCCTCCCCTGTCCCATTGAGGCCAGCCAAAGGTCATGTGAGGGAGCCCGAGAGGACTCCTTTAGGGAGCTCAGTGTAACGAGGAAGACAAAGCGTGCACAAGAATTAGACAACCGTAGAGTTCAGAAGGGTGGCTCTGCCAGTAACTACAAAGCTTGAGATGGGAAAAGTTGGTGTGGGCAAAGGTGGCCAGGGAGGGCTTTCCGGAAGAAAAAAAAGGTGGCTAGAGTTGTGATGGACAGAAGACAGCCACAGTGACCTAAGACAGGGTGTCTTTTACTTTCTTCAAAAGAAAGGTGAGATTGGCTGCTCTGCTCAGACGTGAAGAATGACAATTATCACTTGTGGAAAACGAGGCTGGGATTGTGGTGGCTTTGAATTGCAGGCTGTATGGATACAAAAGTCGATTGAGAGCCACATTACGTTCTGGGCACAACGTGACATAATGAGAACTCCATTTTAGGAGGAGCCCGGTGGCTGGTGGGTAGTGCCTGGGTTAGTGAGATCAGCTGGAGGCCAGTTTCAGACTGAAGAGGGGCCGGCCTCTGGAGGTGACCGTGGGAATGGTGGTCACTCTCACTCATTCAGGTATAGGTCAGAGATGTGCGTTTTGATGTCATTTTGGAAAGGGGGGGTCTGCCAGTAACTACAAAGCTTGAGATGGGAAAAGTTGGTGTGGGCAAAGGTGGCCAGGGAGGGCTTTCCGGAAGAAAAAAAGGTGGCTAGAGTTGTGATGGACAGAAGACAGCCACAGTGACCTAAGACAGGGTGTCTTTTACTTTCTTCAAAAGAAAGGTGAGATTGACTGCTCTGCTCAGACGTGAAGGATGACAATTATCACTTGTGGAAAACGAGGCTGGGATTGTGGTGGCTTTGAATTGCAGGCTGTATGGATACAAAAGTCGATTGAGAGCCACATTACGTTCTGGGCACAACGTGACATAATGAGAACTCCATTTTAGGAGGAGCCCGGTGGCTGGTGGGTAGTGCCTGGGTTAGTGAGATCAGCTGGAGGCCAGTTTCAGACTGAAGAGGGGCCGGCCTCTGGAGGTGACCGTGGGAATGGTGGTCACTCTCACTCATTCAGGTATAGGTCAGAGATGTGCGTTTTGATGTCATTTTGGGTAAAACAAATTACGCATGGGGCTGCTAATAACTTGCAAAAAGGTGATTTCCACTTTGACCAGAGGCAATAGGAAAAAAGAGCTATCAATATGTTCTCCGAAGAAAGCCAGGCATTTGGCATTTGGTGGTCTTTGGGCCAGGTGAGCATGGTAGAAGGTGCCTATGTGGACAATGGGTAGCAGTTGCAAAGTAAAGAGAATGGTCCCTGTACTTTCTGTCACAGGAAATGTTCAGGCCGGAGACTTCGTGCTAATCCATGCAGGAGCAAGCGGGGTGGGCACAGCTGCCATCCAACTCGCCCGGATAGCTGGAGCTATTCCTCTGGTCACCATTGGCTCCCAGGACAAGCTTCAAATGGCAGAAAAACTTGGAGCAGCTGCTGGATTCAATTACAAAGAAGAGGATTTTTCTGAAGCAACAATGAAATTCACCAAAGGTAAACAACAGCTTCTGCAGCTCAGCAGGATTATCAGAGTAGGTTAAATGAAATCCCCGCCAGCCTCAAGGCCAGTGCTCTAGATCTGACTGGCCTCGGCTAAATGCACGACGGCTGCCCTGGCCAAGTTCTGGTACGCTAGTGTTGGGCCTTTGAAGATAGTCAGGCAATATTTAGGATGAAGTCAGTTCCCATGTGTATCCTTGTGATCTGACTCAGACACGTTTTAGAAACTGGATAATCAGGCAGAGTTGGCCCAGAATGACCCAGGACCTCTTATTCCCAACCAGCCAGTACACAGTGAGTTGAGAGGTGACACGGGGCAGAGACCAGTTGGGAGGTGATCATAGTAGGTAGTGTTGCGAAGGTGGTTTCCTAAATGGATGAGCCTCTGTGTTCCAAAGCCAAATCTGAAGATTTGGGGCACTTCCCTTTCCATATGAGTGAAAAAGGAGAGATGACACCAAAGCTACAATTCAAACAACCCAGTGCAGAGGCTTCTTAACTCAGGTGTGAACTACCAGCCCGCCCTCTAGGCTGCCCCATCCCCTCTCCATGCTTACTCCATGCAAATGTGTTCAATGCCTTCCTGACTGAGCCACCTCAAAACCCAGTAGTCCTCCCGGGCAACTTTGTCCTGTCCTGGCCACTCAGCCACACCCAAGCCCAGCACCTCACCCTACTGTGTCACCTGTAGGGCCAGGTCCTCATACCAAGTTAGCAGTGGCTCGAGAGTTGAGGCTGAAAATCACGGCTATCAGATAGAAGGCCTGAATAGCACTAGATGTGCGCATTGTCACACCGTTGGCCTCTGCTAAATGCCGGTTCTGTTCTCACTCATGCCCAGGTGCCAGTAGGTTTTCTACTTCTGTGGGGGTTGGGGAAGATGCCAGAGCATGGTGTTGCCCCGTGTTCCTCTTGCTGTGGCTAGAGATCCTAAGAGATGAACGATTTCAAGCACAGATGGCAGAGTTCAGCTACCTAAACTCCACTTACAACAACGTTTCTATAAGCAGTGTTTCCTGTTCCAGTTAATAGATTTACCACTTGCACCTGTATTTATTTATAGCCATACATCCACAAATATACTCTGGGAATATTATTCTGCGTCGAGCTTTCTGTGTCTGACTAGCATAAATTGTGTTTCCTGTGGAAGGTGCCGGAGTCAACCTTATTCTAGACTGCATAGGAGGATCCTACTGGGAGAAAAATGTCAACTGCCTGGCTCTGGATGGTCGCTGGGTTCTCTATGGTCTGATGGGGGGAGCTGACGTCAGTGGGCCTCTGTTTTCAAAACTGCTTTTTAAACGAGGAAATCTGGTCACCAGTCTGCTGAGATCTAGGGACAAAAAGGTGAGTGATGGGCGAAAACTGTTACCCAGAGAAATGTGATTCATTTTCATAACCCCAGCGAAGGGAAGATTTGGCACATCTCAAGTTAGGGAGCCTATGCTGAAACCTGCCCCTCTGTGGATAAACAGTTAACCCAGTTTCACAGAAATAATTAAAATTGGTCCATAGAAGCCTCAACATCTTAGAAAGAGGGTAGAAAACACTTCATATATGAGACCTGGGGAGTCTTTCTAGCAATGAACAAAGCCTTGACCATATTAGGAAATACTTTTAAAAACAGTTCCAAGGCTGTTTTGCAAGGCAGAACTGTTCTGTTTGCTGAGAAAGCCTCTTAGGTAAGTAACCCTCCACCTCAGCCTGAAATCTCCACGTGCCAGCTTTGGGAATGTCTCCCAGCATAAGGTTTCACATCACTGGGGGACAGCAGAGCTGAAACATCCCTTTTGAGCTGAGCCTATGTAAGACCTGTCTGTGGCTGCTTCCCACCTGAAATCTGTATTTTAGAAGTCCTCAGGGGGTCAGTGACACTTATATTTTACTCGAGGCTGCAGCCCTTACCTGGTCACCCATTTGGGGGCATGCACATACATGCTGGTAACGGAGGAGCTAGGTACCCCTGTACGCTTTTCAGAGAGACCACAAAGGCTAAGCAAGATGGGGGGTAGCAAGGTCAGGCTCTGTCCAGGCTGATGGTCTCCTTTTCCGTATCTTACTTAGTACAAGCAAATGCTGGTGAAGGCTTTTACGGAGCAAATTGTGCCACATTTCTCCATGGAGGGCCCCCAACGTCTACTGCCGGTTCTGGACAGAGTCTACCCTGTGGCTGAAATCCAAGAGGCCCACAAGTACATGGAGAGCAATAAGCACATGGGCAAAATCGTCCTGGAGCTGCCGCAGTGAAGGAGGAGGGGGCACTAGAGGAAAAGGGTACCTCAGCCCTCCCCAGAGCAAACTGGGTGAAAAGTCTCTGAACGCAGGCAAGAGACCAGCGGCTACTCCACGCCCACCTGTAGCCCACTGGGCCTACCCGGCCTCGTCAACTGATCTGTGTAAAGCTGGTCTACGGAAATAAAGAGTAAAGGGAGGCTGGCTCACTGTGCGTGGTCATGAGCGCGTGGAGGAGGTGGGAGATGGAATGGGCGGGGCGGGGAGGAGGTGGGA